CCGAGCGAGGAATGTGACCAGAAGCTAGCCTCAGTGCCCCTGGATTCCCCTGGTCTCCTGCAACCTCAGAGGTGGCGAGATCCCAGGTGTTTGGGAAGGGGACTGTGGGGGATGGCCCCTGAGCACCTGCCAGCCTGCGCAGTGCCCACCAGCCCCAATGCCCTGACTATAACTACAGCACTCTGGAATGGACACTGCAGGATCCAGGACCGAGGGGCAGAGAAGCTGGACATGCATTGAGATGCCCACCACAGCCAACATAACAGGCAGACATCAGCCCACCCTGACCAGGCCCGGCCCTGGGCAGCCTAGGAGCCCAGTGGGGTCCAGCCAGTGCCACTATGTCCCTGGCAGGACCAGCACACGGACCGACCCATGGCCCCTCTCCAGGGCCTGCCCTCCGCATAGGACTCCTGTGCCCGTGTACCTGTCATGAGCCATTCCTGAGCATGTCCCCAGCACCTGTTAAGGACACCACAAGGACCTGGGGTGCAGAACCAGCCAGAAGGAGTCAGGAGGAAAAGGCAATCATCTTCCCTTACAGCTCTGCTACAGACAGCACACACAGGGGCTGCCCTCACCCCAGACATCTCCGCAGCATCCCTCCTTGCTTTGAGGGAGTCCTGGACTTCTGGGACCCACCTCCCTGGGGTCCTTTCCCCTCTCTGGGACCTGGCAGGCATCCCCTGCTCTGGGAAGTTGGGACTTGGCAGGCTAGATGGTCCTGGATCCCCTTCTGCCCTGAGGCCAGGGCATTCCTGCAACACCAGCTCAATAGCTCACCCCTCCAAGGAGTCCTCCCTGACGAGGTGCACGGATGCAGACACCGGCTGGGGAGATCTGATCCTCTCCTGCGTGGTCTCTTTGTCCCCTGGACACCCAGCACGCAGCACAGATGGCCACCCCCATTGCTGTGCCAGGAGGACGGGTCCAGGCTTCCCCACGCTGCCCCACTCTTCCCCACGCTGACACTGTATCAGTGTCTGCGAATGAATGAACAGACAGCGTCACGTGATCCCAGCAGCCCGGAGCAGGAGGGTGAGATCCAGGAAGTGAGCGGCCTGAGGCCCTGAAGCCCTAGTGGAGGAGCCACAAACTCAGCCTCTCCTGCCAGAGAGCTCTGTAGGAATCCACATTCCCCTCTTCTCCAAGCAGACTGCAGGGCTCTGTGGCTTTCCAAGCTGGCCAGCCCTCAGGGGTCAGTCAGCAGTGTGACGCCGGGCACCCTGGTGTGTCCTGGGCAACCGTGTCCTTGGACACCCTCTGCCTCTCTGTCGCCAGTGGATGATGACACCATGAGTGTCTCCTGTGTGCCGTTAGTGCAGGCCAGAGGCTCCCACGGATGCAGTGGGCCTGGGGTGGGAAGGAATTGGGGTCTCGCGCTGAGCTGAGGGGCAGGGGTCCTGCTGCGCACCCTCTGCCAACCTCGGGCGGCCCTGGCAGCAGTCCCTCTCCATTCCGGGCACAGGCAGCACAAGGCCAAGGCGAGGAGGGTGCAAGGAAAATCCTGGGTCACCTGCTGCACGGGACCCAGGGCAGGGGGGCTCTGTGAGTTACCAGCCGCCAGGCACAGCGACCCTCACATCCGGGCAGCACAGAATTTCTCTGTTTCCTGAGGGATCTCCACACTGGTTTCCAGTGATATTTACACAGCACGCAGGCTCTGCTCTAAGGGGAGAGAAATCCGAGTCGTCGGCAGGAGAATGGACCACACGGTTCAGCCACAGAGACCAGACACGAGGCCGAATGCTGGCAAGATTGCGCTTCTGTGAGAAACCCCAAGTACAAAGCACAAAATAGCAGGCAACGGGGACCAGGGGGCTTTTGCAAAAGGAAAGGGGACTGAGGGGCCGGGGGAGGGGAAGGAGGAGGAAGATGCGTCCTGCACACGTCCTGCACACGCACCAACTCCCCACAAGGAACGGAACTGCTATGCATCCCAAACCCCTCCCAGGAAAACACAAAGCAAACCAGAGGCCCGGGAATGAGGCCCAACAATCCACGGTGCGGAGACACAGCAAATGTAGGGCTGGGCGGCTGCCCCCCCAGTCACTTTCCTGGTCATCTAACCCCTCTGGGCCGCCTCCCTTCTGCCCCAGCCTCCCCTCTGGCTGCCCTGCAGCCTAAAGGTCTCTGGTCCTGGGACGTCAGGCACACAGGCGGCCACTCCCACCCCACTTGGTTGTGTGACTGCTGCTGAGATCAGGAAGCCAGAAGCACCGGGGGCCAAGCATCAATCCGTCAGACTGTTATGGTCTGATATTTCTGCAAAAGGAAAATCTTTTGTCATATAAAATGTGCAGGCAGGGCCGGGGTTGTAGCTCAGCGGCACAAGCACCTGTCTGGCAAGCGTGAGGTCCAGAGTTCGATTCCCGGTACCAACAGAAGTGCTGCAGAACGACACTGTCAGTGCTGTTCCACAGAGCAGCACCTGCACAGCTGCCTGCCCTCTGGGCCCCTGCTCCCAGGCCCGGCCCTGGGGAAGTCCCAGGCAAGTTCCCTGGGCCTTCAGGGGCTCCGGCTCAGGCTCCTGACGGGAAGTGGGGGGAAGCTGCATGGAGAAAAGGATGGGGTCTCTCTCCTTTCAAGCTTATCCCCCAGCAGCTACTGAATGAATGAGTGGATGAGCTTGTGTGACCCCGAAAGGCTGGAAAATTCATTACCAGCAGGAATGGCACAAGCCCAGCATTGGGAGGCTGGGGCAGGAGGATTGCTACAAATTCAAGGCCACCTAGTGGGTTCATTCTGGCCTAAACTACCGAGCAAGGTCCTATCACAAAACAAACAGATAAAGCAACAGCAGGTCCTTCAGCTGAGGGGACAACGATACCAGGACGAGAGGGGACAGCATGATCAATAGCCAGAAATTAACAGCTGCCAGGGCAGCTTGTCCCAGCACAATCTCAAGGCGACCCCAAGAAGTGGGGCTTTTGTTATCTCCACTTGGCATCTGAGGACACCAGGACACTGTCCTGCTCCCATCCTGGGGGCTCTTTGCAGCACCGGCACAGGAGAACTGGTTCCCACTCCCCAGGGGCGCTGCATCCTCCTGGGAGCTGCAGTGGAGCCACCAGCACCCCACTTCAGAGGGAGAGGGCACGTGGCCTGGAGCTGGGGGCTGGGGGGGCCGCAGACAGCACAGCCCCGGAGCCTCCCCAGGGTACCCCTTCCTTCCCCTGCGCTAGCCCCACCTCCCAGCGGAGAAGCCTGCAGGAGGGATGCGGCCACGTGCTCCTCAGCCAAGTCCCGGCCGGCCTTTGTTCTCCTCCCAAACGGCTGGCTCTCTCTTCATCTGCAGGGCTGCTGCAGCCAGAAGCCAAGACGGCCTTGCAGAGACACAGCCCTGGCTCCAACACCGCCTCCTCACTCCCGTCGCAGCCTCGGCAAAGCCCAGCACAGGACAGACCCAGGACAGACCCAGGACAGACCCAGGACAGACCGGCGCTTGTGCCTCAGCAGGAAAGGCCAAGACCCTTCCACGCGCTGGGCAGATCTTCCCCAGGGCCCCTCCCCACTGCTTGTGCTCCCTCGAGGACTGCCACAGTCCTGCAGGACGCAGGGGCGGCGGAAACCACAGCCTCAGAGGGCCGCAGGCCCTCTCGCCGCCGGCGTGGGCGGAAGGGGCTTTGCAAACCCGGCGGCCGGCTCAGGCTGTGGGCAGCTCCGGGCGGCCCGGGCTGTGCGCAAAGCCAAAGGAACACACGGGGAGTAACTTTTCTCCAGCTCCGAAGAGCGGGGGGTTTGGGGGACCCTGGGCTGCTGAGAGCCGAACTTCGCCTTCTCCCTGGATCTCTGTAAAAGGCAGGCTCTCTGAAGTCCCCTCCGCTTCCAGCGAGAGTCTGGCCTGTCCCCGTCCCTCCAGCTCAGGGCCCCTCTGGTTTTCCCACTCCTGCCTGGTCTGGAATGTCCTTCCTCCCTGCCCCCTCGCCAGCTCCTGTCCAAGCACCACCACCTCCTCCTCCTCCACGAAGCCCCGGAGAGCTCCCAGGGACTGGCACACCCGTGGTGCCCACACCGAGCCCTGTGAGTCTCCTCGAAGGCTCCAGCTGGCGGAGGGACCCAGGACGTGCCCAGGAGGGAGAAGTCCCCGGGTCCTTGGGAGCAGAGCGTGCAGGAAGGAGCTACGGTACATTTCTGCAGGGCCTCTCCTTCCCCTGGCCTCCCCTTAAGCCCCTGCAGGTCTTCGGTAGGACTAGTGACCTTTTGACCAAGGAGGAGGGTGGCCATTAGAGAATTCAAAAGAAACTAAACTGAACCAGAGATAAAGAATTTGAGACCCAGAGGTGGTCTGACCCTGGGACCCTGAGGAAAAACTTGGGGCAGGGTCAGGCCTGGCTAAGGGCCTGAGAAGCCAGCGGGTCAGCAGAGAGGTCAGAGGTCCTGTTTCTACTGCTCCACCCTGCTGGGCCCCACTGCCCTGGTGGTCGCCTCCACCCCCACCAGGGGATTAGGGTGGGGAAAGACACAACCTGGGTGGGCACTATCTGGAGGCTCCCTCCTTGGCTGGGAACGCCCCATTCCCCTTGCCACGAGGTGTTGGACTCCGAAGTGTCCTCTCCCCTCTCCCCGCTGGACATGAAGCCAGGCAGACACCCTCTGAGGCAGGCAGGGAGGAAGTGGCTAGGTCCCACCCCCCAATGACCCCTCAGCTATCACCCCGATTACTTCCAGCACACCTCCTACCCAATGACTGGACAAATTACTGTCCCAACTCTCCAGGCCTCAGCTTGCTCATCAGCAAGATGGGTACAAGGCGTCCACGTGGGGACAAAGGCGGGTGCTGCAGGAGAAGAGAGCGGGAGATCTATACAGGCGCTCCCGCCTGCCTCACCCTGGGAGTCCCCGTGTGGGCCTGCAGAGCGCATGGCAGAGCAAAGGGCCCCCCGGAGGGTGTGTTGGGCAGTGGAGGACCCGCGATATTGCGGTCGATCCAGGAGAGAGGGGACGTCGCCCGGCCTCCTGGCCACTCAGAACTCACGCGCAGGGAGGGGACGCCCTACCTCGGGCCACCAGCAGCGACAGGCCGCCGAGCAGCAGCATTGGCGACAGCAGGGCCGGGCGCGCGCGCTCCATGGGGCCGGCGGCGGTGGCGACGGCGGCGGGGACAAAGGCGCGGGTCCTGCGCTCCGCGCTCGGCCGAGGTCGGCAGCGCGGCAGGGCCGGGCCGTGCGGTTCAAGTATCCCGCCCGGGGGGCGCGGCGGGGCGGGGCCTCACGGCTCCCCTCCGCCCCCGACCCGCCCTCCGCGCCCGGCCACGAGGGGCGCCCTGCAGGGCCGCGCGGAAGGGGGCGCCTTCGGGCCGGACGCGCCCTCAAAACCCGATCTGCTCCGCAGGCCGCGGCGCCACTGGGCTCAGGGCCCAGGGCAGGCTCAGTCCGGCCCGCGAGAAGGACCCGCACCCACGCGGGACCCGCGCCCAGGTGGAGCCAGACCTCGACGGTCCTGCGCGGGGCCAGGCCTGCACCCTCCGTGTGCGCGTGGTCCAGCTGGGCAGCTCCGTGCAGACTCAGGGCTCCCGGGCTGGATCAGGGCCGCTTTCCAGGGGTGTCAGCAGTGGCCCAAGCTGACGCCCCAGCTCCCATAGGGACCCCATGACCCAGGCCTGAAGCAGCTTTTGTTCCGTGAGGTCTCGGAGCTGCTTGGTGCAGGAATGCAGGCTGTAGCCAGCCAGGGCACTGAGGAGAAGTCTGGGGAACCACGGAGATTCATCTAAAAAAAAAAAAAGGCCCCAGATACCCAGTGCCGGGAAAGATGGGGTCCACCAGCGAAGCCACGGGAAACTCCATTTCCTGGGGTGAAGGGGTGGTGGGCCACCATTCAGTGCCCAGTATCATGCCTGCAGAAATTCGACAACCCTGTGTTCCTAGTGGCCCTGTTGGTCACAGCATCCATGTGGGACCTGCGCCAGTGGACCCTCATGGGCTCTGACAGGTCAGGCCCCAGCACTCGTGAGGAGGTTGGGTTCCGTGTTTGTACGTGTATCGAGCTATCTGCCTATGAAATGGGCCTTTCTCCTCCCTTCCTTCCTTCTTTCCAGCTGGAGTCTCCCTGCTGCCCAGGCTGGCCTCAAACACCTGGACTTGAGCAATCATCTTGCCTCAGCCTCCTGTGCAGCTGGCACTACAGGTGTGTCACTGTGCCCAGCTGTCAATTTCTGAGCAAATGTCAAATTTAAGTCCAAAAGATGAGACGCCCGTGTCCTCCACAAGACACCCCCCAGACCCAGGTTTGCTGAGAGCCCAGTAAAGTTGCTGAAAGGGGCCAGCTGGCTGGCAGCCACCTCAGTGAGGCTCTGGCCAAGCAGAGGGCCGGAAGGACAGCTTCCCTCCTGCTGCCCCCTGTCCTCCCTGCAAATGGGACCAGGGTGGGACTGCACACGGCTGTGAGCCTGGAAGGACCCTGTAATAAATATGGCAGGGTCTCCCTAAGGAACACTAGAGTTTGCTATCAGCCACCATGATGGATGACAGTGCCTTGATCTCCTCATTCCCTGCTGGGCCGTGGGCAAGTCCCTTCCAGGGCCTCAGTTTCCCTATCTGCAAAATGCTTTTGTGGAGACCTGTGACCCTACATTCCAGGCTGACAGTGGGCCCCTTCTCCATGGACCTCAGCTCTCAGATCCCCAGGCCTGGGACTCTCAGGGGGCCACGTTGGGTGTCGGGAGAGGTGATCTGCCCCAGGCCTGTGTGTCCCCAGCCATTCATGCGCAGTGTGCCCTGAAGCAAAGTCCTGGCGCCTCTGTCCCCCAATCTCCTGGTTGTGTCTGTGCTGAAATTACACTTCCCTCAAGCTTACCCTAAACGTGGTCCGTTCGCTGTGACAGCTGTCAGGACCCACATGTCAGCGCCTGGAAGATAACAGACACAGCCTGGGGGGTGTGAAGGAGCAGATCTTTTGTGTGCCTGGGAGATACCAGCATCGATCACAGTCACAGCCTTGCCCAGTGGCCATCAGGGGGAACAGGAAATACTTCCGCCTGGACATTGGTGACCATGACTGCCCCCTCTAGTCCCTGATCCTTGTAGCCAGGGATTGTTGTTTCTTTGACGCGTGTGAGCCTCCTTCTTTTGCCTTTAGAAACTTCCCCTGGTGTTGCCCCTGCAGTGCCACCCCCAGTGGACACTGGCTTTGGGATCGCTCCCCGTTGCTCAGCCTGAATCCCCAGCCTCAGGTGCCCTGAGTAACGCAGCCTGTCGTGTGGGCAGGTACAGGCACCGTGATGGGCCCTGGGAGACAGGGGCGCTGCCGGCTTTTGGCATCAAAGCTCTCTGGCTTCTGCTCTAGGAGGGCACAGCGTGGCCCCTGTCTCCGAGCCAGGAGTCTCCTGATTAGACAGAGGCAGTCCACTTCCTGTGACTCCCAGCCCCAGGATTACCTGAAAGCTGCTTTGTGTCTGGCATCTTGTCTCAGAAGAGCTCCTGGGCGCACCTTGTGGGTGGATCGGGGAACCAGCTTAGCCACAGCCCCAGGGACACTGTGATTGTTAAGCATCGCGGTGCAGGGAAGACCTGTGCTCCCGTGACCCGGTCGGGTCGCATCTCACCACTCCTAGCAGGGACCCCTGAGAGGAGTTGCTGCAGCTAGAAATAGCCCAATTTGAACCCAAGGAGTGCAGGGTGACATTGCCTTCGGCAGGAGAAACCCTGACTTTCTTGTGTGTGTCCCTAATCATCAGAGGAACTTTCCTCCCGTGCCTCGAGCCCTTTGTATCTCTTTGTGTGACTTGTGTCATAAATTTTACTACTGGATGGTCTGTTTTTTTTTTGGTACCGGGGACGAGCTCACAGATATTGTATTTGATAACGTTTTTGCTTTTAACTTCTTAAAAACATTGTTTAATATTTTCAGGGAGCAATCGAGGTGGGAATAATTGTGCCAGAAACCTAGGGTGATATAATTACAGTACCTAAGCGTGACCCCAGGTTTCTGGGCCACCAAAGCCAAAAATCAGATTATGATCGCTGCTGTGATTCCCGTTTCCTGGCCAAAGAAAGTGAACCACGTTACTGGAAGGGGCAAGGTTGTCACAGGTGCTGAACGTTGATTGATTTCCGTCTGGGTCGTCAAGTACGAGCAGAGAGGCTTGCCCGGAGCACATTCACTCGCAGCTTGGGGGGGGGGGGTTGGGGGGGATCGAGGGCGGTGACCCCCCACTCTGACCGGGTCCTGGGTGAGATGACACACACCCTTGGATACTGCTCTGAGCAGGAAGTCATTCTTTACACCCGCAGGGACAGTCCTTCCTGGAGGAGGTGACCCAACGCTGGCACCCACGCCATCCTCGGGGCAAGGAGGGATAAAGCAGGTTCAGGGCCTCAGGGTTGGTGCAGGTAAGGCAGGAGCAGGCGGTGTCCAGACCAGAGTCGGGGTGGCCATGCAAAGGCCTGAGAGGTGGGCAGGGCCACCCCAGTAGGCTGGCTGTGGACGGTAGTACCTGTCCCAGTGTTTGACGAGATCTCGGGCACTGGCAGAAGCCAGCTGCATGCCCAGCTCCCTGACCGGGCCTCCTTAGGCTTCGGGTCACTGCCAGCAGCACAGGAGGGGAGCTGCAGGGAAGGTGGTGCTGCTGATGCCCCTGGAGAAGCTTCTCATGTCGGCCTCCTGATAGGAGCTCCACTGTTCTCGTCAGTGAGGGACCTGGAGTCCTCAGTGTCGCTGAGGGTGCTGTGGCTCTGGGGAGCCCGGTCCTTACTCTGAGAGCCGCTTCCTGGGTCCAGTGAGGCCCCTCAGCTGCTGGCACGGCTCCTTCACCCCGCTGGCACAGAATTTCCAGCTTCCCCCACTGACCTCTGGGCCCTCCCAGGGCAGATCCTTGATGGAGACTGGCATGAGACGCTGTCGTGGGCTCTAGGCCTCCAGATGGACTCGTGGGGGACACTGCCGGGGGATCCAGGCCCTAGGCTGGCTTCTTTGGGTCTCTAAGGAGTGAGCTCCTACACTCCTGTGCTTTTGACTTTTTGGGTGAATATTATAAAATACGCCTGTAAGTTACCCGTCCTGTATAACTGTTTCCTTCCTTGATCCTAACGGTGTCTGGCTGAGGGTGTCAGTGCCCTGTGCCCAGTGACATTTGAGAAAGAGCTCTCTACCTCCTTATCTTTCCCTTTGCTCTTTATTTGTAACGTGGGTTTCTCGCGTGAGAAGAACCACGCCATCCCTAAGTTTGCATATTGATTGACTTCACTTAACATTATGGTCTCTGTCTCTTTTCTTCCCTGTGTCAGGACTCGAACTCAGGACCTCGTGCTTGTCCAGCAGGCACTGCGCCTCTGAGCTGTAGCCCTGTAACATTATGGTCTCCAGTGCATCTTTTTCCCAAAGAGTGACTCCAGTCTGTCTTTCTCAGTGCAGAGCAGCGCCCCGCTGTGTGTAAACACCCCTTTCCTGTGAACAGCTGTACAGGCCACACCCAAGATTGAGGTATTAGGGGTTGTGCTGCAATTTTGCTGCTGAGACAGGGCCTCACTGCGTTGTCCAGCTTGGGCTCCAACCTGTGGTCCTCCTGCCTCAGCCTCCCAAAGCGCTGGGGTTAGAGGATGTGCCACTGTACTAAGTAGTTACCTTTTTGTATGCATTTGGTGAGAGCCCCCAAAATCTACTCTGCAGCAAAAATCCTCAGTCTAGAGTACTATGATTAAGCACAATCTGACGTTACACATCTGGGCTCTAGAGCTATTCACACCATTCACCTGCAGCCGGGTATTCTTTGACCTGAACCCCACCTCCCCGCTCCCTGGCCCTGGTAACCACCGTCTCCTCCATGTCCGGGTATCTGATGGTTTAATTTTCTTACATCCCATATATAAGTGAGATCAAAAGGTATTTTCTTTCCAGTTCTGGTCTATTTAGCTTAGCATGAATTCCCCCAGGTCCATCCGCATGTGGGCACTGTGTGTGCATGCGTGTGTGCACACATGTACATGCAATGCTGGCTGGGATCAAGCCCAGGGCCTCAGGCACACCAAGCACACACCTAGGCCGAGCCACAATCCCAGCCCTCACCTTATTTCTTTTGTTTTAAGCACTCTCTGTTTTTCTTGATATTCTGAGTGGAATTTTTTTTCATGTTTTCTAATGTGCTGCTGCTGTAAGACTGTCCATATTCCTGAGGTGGAGCTACATTACGGTGTACGTGACCCATAACCATGTTTATTGTCGTAAGGTTAATAATATAAGCATAATCATAACTAGGAACTTTATAGCTAATGTG